TGTGTAACATAAACAAGGCAGGGTAATCTATCATTGTTATTAAATTTTGTAACGATTTTGACTCACTTTTTGCCAGAGGTTCCTAAACTTTCTCTTCGCCAAACTTTTATTTATTAATTTTATATTTATTAATTTTTTAAGTTTGTGAGTCAATAAATGAGTTTTCTTTCTTTCTTTCTCATATACCTCTTTTAAATTTTTACTGGTTATCTGAGTTCCAACGACGATTTTGTAAGTTTCCGAAAATTATTTCAAAGATCTTATTTCGAAGGAATATCTCGAACACTAGTCAGATGACGGATGATGACCAACCATAAAAGATAGTCCATATCGGAGGACTATCTTTAAAATAACACTGCAGGCATGTATACCAACGTGGATTTATTCCATTTTATCACTTTTCGTACGAAAATATAACGAGATGAGCGTAATCCCGTCGGATGTCTTTACTCCTCGGCGATCGGAAACAGAATGTGTGCCAAAATGGCGGCAATTTGCTTTTTGTTAACGAACTGTCAAAGTCAGTGTCACCATTCTAATAAAATTAAAAGTATCGATGATCACGCCCTCTCTACAATCGAGTAATTAAGTAATCGAGTAACAAGCAATTAAAATAAAAGAAACTAAATCAAACGATCTTCGTAAAGACTAATTTCAAAAGCTATTTATTCTAGAACATGCCATTGAAGTCGGGCGGAGGTTTTCTATAGGTAATTAATCAATTATTAATTAAATGATAGGCACCCGAGTACTTTTTCAATTTTTAGTGAAATTGAATCTTTTATATTAACACTAGAAATATTAAAATCTATATAAAAATATTCAACAAAGTGAAAGTCTAAATGAAAAGAAGATTTTGTTTATTTTGCTTGATATAATTGTTTACAATAATCTATAGTCATATTATAAAGAGGAAAGATTTGATTTCTTACTTGTTTGCATTGGATTGGCTCCGAAATAAATGGGCTGTTTTATGAAAGTCTTTCATCTACGGAAATCGTTGAATATATAAAATCGGATTTGGAATCAATGCAAAATACGCAATGTTTTTTAACCGAAATAAACACATCATCTAAATATTTAGGTGATATCTGATGAAAAGCGTGTTTGGTTTTTTAAAAGAAAGACTGCTGATTTGATTTCGATAAAATTTAAATGGGACCACCGCAGTCCATTAAGGTGTCGAATAAAAAAGGGTATTTAAAATAGGTCAACAATTGGCGGAAATATAGGTAAAAAACATACGTTGCCATCGAACATATCTCTTCTCTTTTTCGATTTTGTAGTCGATTGTCTTGATTATTTGAATTTATGAATTTTTAAGGTCGTTTATTATATTTGCTATAATATTTGGGTCACTCATGGCCTATTCTCCCTTCGATTCGATTCCAATTATAGTCTAGGCTCGTGCCTCAACAGTGGGGACATTTTTTGACGTGGATACGTCTATGTTTTCGTTCTACAGGGGGGTCATTCTGTGAGCAGGAGTATATGCACCAACGCCATCTATTGGCGTATAAGTGAACTATGCTTGCTCTGCAGGGGGAGGGGCATTCTGTCAGCAGGAGTATATGCACTAACGCCATCTGTTGGCGCTAGTGAATACTTTTTTCATTCAACAAATGAACGCAACGAATATTTATTTATTTAGTGTCTTCAATTTGTTCATTTATTTTTTTTAATTATTCATTTATAAATGCAATTATGTCACAACGTTGCATAATTCCGGGTTGTTTTGGAAAAGCGAATCGTTCAGTTTTTAGAGTGCCAAAGAACATTGATAGACGTGAAGAGTGGTTAAAAGCTATTCGTGATGTGTTTCCTAACCTGGATGTTGGTGAAAATTTTTATGTCTGTGAAAAACATTTTAAAGAAGCAGATTTTACGGCATATTTAATTGACAAATCTGGAAAAATCTGGAATATAGACGCCGGCAGGGAGTTCCACTCCTTGGCAGTGCGCAATAAGAAAGATTAAGAATAATAACATCTTGAAATATCTCCCACATGAAGTACTGACTTCATGTGGTGGATATTTCAAGATGTTATTCAATTTAGATTGATTGCATCTAAATTGAATATGGTAAAACGGAGAAGGCAGTATGATCTTTGGCTATTTAGCATATTTTCCGTTTTATATCCAAAAAAGATGGACAGGCAGGCAACATTACGCCGATGGCTCAGGCTGTGCAGCTTGGACTCCACTAGTTTTTCTTCGCTAATGAATTTCTTGGCTCTGCGTTCCACCGAGTCTAGTGTGGTAAGCTGATAAATAGCTGAACCACGCCGTGATGTTGGCGTGTAATAATGGATGATATATTTTACATCATCAGACTATTGGATTCCTGTGAAAAATTAATTAAAAATGATAAATCGTGTAAGAAAATGTAATAGCGAAATATCTGTTTGCCCGTATCATATACGCGCTTATACATATTTATAATACAGAGATTCCATAGTGAAAAACTGCCTTCATGACATTTATTACCCGATACTGCGGTTTAAATTTTATCGTTTATTTTATGTTTGTTTGTGGTTGCAGTCTTTAATGACGCAATTAAATAAGGACGGACGTTTAATATACAGAAATGAACAACAAAATTGCAACGAGTTTCTTTTTATTATCTGTATAAATATAGGTGATCAAAATGATGCCCTAACAAAGAATATTCCAGTTTATTGTTAAGAAAAGTGACGATAGATCACAAAACCATAATGTTTTGGATATCGGTGTTGTGTTACTTTTGTTGTTTCAGATTTCCATAAAAAAATTACTTTAGTTACTTAATTAGGAATCTGAGCAATGTACGTGATGTTATCTAATATTTATTTATTAGCTGTTTTCTCGTGACTTCCGCCACATAAATTACAGCCTATGTTCCCCGCCTATGATGTCATTTCTCGTAAGTGATAGAATTTCCATGATCGGATCGGTATTTCCGAAGATTAACCGCTATAAACAAAGAAGTCGAAACTTTACTTGTGTATAGGTAATATTAGCAAAATAATTAAATCTTATTAATACATTTAAACAGGTACCTCTGGATCAGAATAGCATTGTTCGAGAGACAACTAGCGAAGATAATAGAACATCTAGTGAACAACGCCACGAGATACTACGAGAGGGACGCCTTGGTAGCTGACCCTGACTACGGGAGTATACTGAGCTCCTTGTTGGTCGGTCCGTGCGCACTGGAGTACTCGAAGGCAAAAGCACCAGCTTGTTTCTGGACTGATCCTCCAGCTGATGAGTTGGTAAGACATTTTTCATAATTACATGATATCGTTTTTTAACCGACCTCAAAGAGAGGTTCTCAATTCAATTGTATTTTTTTCTGTTTGTTACCTCATTACTTTCTACTGGATGGACCGATTTTGGTGATTCTTTCTTTATTTGAAGGCTAGTGCTTGCCATGTAGTCCCAATGAGAAAACCATTTAAGTCTTAAATTTGCATTAAGTATGCGTGATGTTTGTTACTCCAAAACACAAAATATCACTAACATGCATGAAATAAAAACTAATAAAAAAATAGAACCGACTTCAAATTTAAAAAAAGTGAAAAATAATACTTATCTTAAAAATGGTTAATTTTTCCATGGAAAGTTAGGTGTTTTCCCGTAACTTTGCCCACGTAAATTATTAAGTATTTAATTAATAACTTTGGTTAAATAAATTGTTACGCTGTACCCACTGAGGGGTTAGTGTGCCCAGCGGCTTTTTCTCAGAAGCTCGCATTTCAGTTGTAGTTCCTTTAAGTAATGGATTAACCTTTTTAATACCATGATATTTTTTTGTATTATTCCCGTGACATTAGAATGAAGGAAATAATACGTTATCTTAGCTATGAATTTATGATTACTTTTTTTTTGTTAATAAGCAAAGATATGTTACATTTTTCCTCTGCTTCCATTTTTAAAATGGGCCATTTCATAGAATACAGTCGTGGGCAACCAGTCGCGTGGACTGTCGTACATTACTAGCCTTCAGCGGTAGAACCGCCGGCAACTAGTCGCTTTAATGGAAATGGAAATAAGAACTTAATGTTTACTTTTGTATAATATGAATAGTGTAGTATATCCCATTAAAAATATTTTCATATAATGTTACCAAGACTGACGTCTTTGTTCGCACTGTTAAAATATTTTTTTATAAAATATTAATATTTATATAATATAAAATATTTTAGATCTTACGTAGAGCCAAGGTCTACAAACTCTAAACTTTAGTGGCTTGGCCTCACTTTACTGTTGATATATGACGATATATAAAACCTCTCATTACTTAGAGATAAATCTGGACCTGAAAAGCATTAGGTCGGATGTGCAGAACCAGCTAAAATCGCTTATCGCCATAACGTTGCTACACTCTTTTTTCTCTTTCCGGCAAATTAACTCTTGTATGTTTGTGCCTTTTTACTCATGAGCAACAGTCATGCATAAAGTCGGATCAGACGACTTTTTCAAATATTTTGATTGCATTTAGCTATTTCTGTTTTTATACAGTTATGCCTAAGATTCCCGACATCCGACCTAATGCTTTTCAGGTCCAGAAATATACAATTATTTTATTATTTGTCATATACATATGTACGTATTTTTAATTGGGAAAGTTCGTTTCTTTATGACATTGTAAGAAAACGGCAATTGTGGGTTGTTTACATTTTCTTTTAAAACAATGTGTTCCAAATATATTTTTTGAAGGAAACCGAGCTAAAAGACTCTTGAATGAAACGTGGAATAATAACATTAGGAGCTGTTCTGTTGTTTCGCTAACAATGCTCAATATTTTATTATTGCGTAGATACTCGTGAAAAGAGCTTAACACAGTACTCACAGAGGAATGCTTTATTTCGATAAGAGTATTTTGTATTATATGTCATTTGTCATTAAGGAGCTTTTACAATGAAATCTACTACCAAGGGAATATGAAATCAACGCATTGAAAAATAATAATCAATGATTTTTTGGTAAGGTTTTCCGATATTATTTAGATGTTTTGTCTTATACCTTAATAAATTGTTTACATTTCCGATCGTGTATACATATACTTTATGATAATCAGAAATCAAAAAACCACTTTGTAGGTAAAGCTTCTGAAACTTGAATATAATAAATGGATGGAATCGAATCAAATAGGATTGACTTTGACCCACCACGCGGGTTAAGTACAGATTCGTGGGTATTAACTGCAAATGTAGGACCAGGACCGGTCACCCTTCTTATTACCGGCTCTAGAGCAGGTTGCTTAACAATCTTATCGTAAGCCGAACCCGCTTACCACTACGCCATCGATCGCCATTTCATTATTTATTAGAAGGGCCCACTAAATAAGTAAAAATAATTCTACGAAAAATGCTTTATGCTTATTTGTTTGAAGAATATATACTTTTATTAGTGCGTGACTTTTTTAAATTGAATATAATTAAAGAGTAAAGTTTATAATATATCACATATTTTGACAACATATATCGCTTACACATTATATCAATACAATAGCCATATGGAAAAATACTAAAGTAACAAATTGTGCATGGCAACAAATAGCTAAAGTTGGCTTCAGTTTAGTATCAGTAGTAAGCACTAAGCGGAGCCTTCCCTGAAAGCTCAGGTAAACTTCAGTTAAAAGCTTATTTGATGGGTATCGGTCATCTAATCTATACAAACAAATTAAAATTGAGTGTCTGTTTGTAATATTAAAAAAACCGTTTTTCACTGAATACATAGGTATGTGTGATGTATACACGGTACATATGCAAAAAAAAAATATATTTTTAAATTTTTTGTCTGTTTTTTTGTACCGGTTAATCTCTGAAACGGTTAGACCGATTTTGACGGCATTTTCACTGACTGATAGCTTATGTCATAAGGGGTAATTTAGGCTACTAATATAAGGCTTAAATGTAATAAGGCGGGCAAAGCTAGTTGATCAATAAAACAATGACCACACAACGAAATCGCGGAACAGAAATCTTGGCGGTCATCTACCAGTGTGCATGGATCATAATTCCATTGTTCACCTTGTACAGGTACAAAGACATCGCATGTCGGCCGGAACTACTACCCCACCGTCTGTTCGCAGACCAATCCTCAACTTCAGAAGGAGTTTGAATGCTTCTTCTGATGATGGCGGATCTGTTAACACAGGTACAGGTTAATGTGACCATACGTCCGTTTTGAACGGGACCGTCGCCTTTTTGGACGATTCAAAAATGTCTTGTTTTCACAATGGTGAGAAAACTTAGTTGTACACACACTATGTGTTGCCTGCAAAAAGATTGCATTAGCTATCTATACCATATTAATTAATTGTTTTCCATTTACTTCCGGGTTCTTTGAAATCTTAGATTCCGAAAAAAAGTGTTAAACGAACACATATTTTTTCGGAATCACAGGGTTTGATTTTGTCGCACTATACCAGATAGGGCCCATTTGCAAATTAAACTACAAGAATTCATGATGAAAGATGTTCCGAAAAATAGGTTAAGTTAGTTATTCTATACAACTATTGTGACTGAATATGGGATTTTTAAACTATAGATTTAAGTAATAACAAGAAATTTTGTTTTCCTAACTTATATTGGTATCATATCAAAAGGTCACCAAACGAGCTCAGTGCGGATTAGACCAACGAATTAAATTGTCTTCCGAAATATGGAGAAGATCGATATATTGAAGTACAACCTTACTTTCGCTATTAGTGAGCGTATGTTCATCAACATTATCAAAATCGAAATGGCCATTTAGGTCTATAACAGATAGGTGGTAGTAATAGGAGTTAGAAGAAAAGAAAGGGCTCAAAGTCAAGGAAATAAAATATAATCAAACTACAGCTAACTTACATTACAGCAGAAAGAACAAAGACCAAAGAAAAGAAGGAGAATAAAATATCAACAAAAAATAGACTTCTAAGAATATCTCACCGTACTGCTGGCCAGTTCGAAACAAGGCCAAACAAAGTATTTTGATATTTGATTAACATGGAAATGTCTTCTTATTAATTATTTCATAAAATTTGCATATAGACTAAGTTAGACTAATTAGACTAAGTTTTAATCCAAGATAAAACGAAAGAAATTAATGTTAATTAAATAATCACGTTAAATTTTTAGGTAGCGGTAAAACTAGCGGCTCTACCGCAAAGGATTATGTGGAGAGTTTACATCAAAACTCGACGGCAACGCTTCTGTACGGCAAAAACAACGTCAGGGTACAACCGGTAAGATAGACGGAAAGACATAAAGATAGATCATTCGTTATTGTAAACATTACACTACTTACAGATACAAACTTAAAATAGACTAACTTAGATTGCGTAACAATAGGGATGATGACTGGGTAAAAAAAATGCAATTCTATTTAGTCCGTCAGTCAGATAATAGAAAAATATTAGATACGTATTTTTTTTACTTCAATTTAACAAGAAATAGCTTAGATAACAGGCAGTAAAGTTGAGGAGTGGGGGCTCGCTACGTCACAGTTGAGTAGAAAATGTACTCTAACGTGACGTCATGCGAAATTTCAACTCCATGTAACGCCGTTATTTTATGATTACGAAAAAAAAAATACGTGTTTAATATTTTTTAACACTCTACCTGACGGACAAACAAACAAAAATTAGTCATCATCGCTGCTATCGCTTAAAGGTGCTCTTCCACTGAGTACTAAAGACTGGGGTTTACAATTGTACACGTTATCAATAACATTTAAGATATGTTTTATCTTGTATTTAATAACAATTAGACCAAAGGTAAAATATCTACATTTATGATCAAGAGTCAATGCTCGTTCAAAAGAAAGAAATTAATCTTTTCTTTTGAAAGTAAATAACTGACGCTGAATTGACACAAGAAGAAGACTGAAAAAATGCACAGAAGAATAAGGGGTTAAAATAATAATGAAAAATCAATTGAATATGTTCAGAAGCTAACTTGAAAATGTTTTCTTAGGGTTTCATTAGTGATATATAAACAATGTTGACAATTCACATCCTAATCGATCTGTCGGTCAGTAGGTAGTTTGTTTACACATATATTCTTTTGTCCTTAAAGTAAATACCAGTCCTTTATTTCTCAGATAGATATTAGTGACCTTTTCCGACTGAAGGTGAAATTGGAGGTCAGAACGAAAAACTATCGGGTCGTATAAACATATTCAGATTTGTTGTGTTTTATATTCGTTGTTTATGGTTGGAATCCTCGAATAAGAATCAAATTGAATAAGGAGAATGGGCCATGACCCACCGCGCAGGTCCAATGCGGATCGGTGAACTTTAACGATTGCAGATTCACCTGGGACCAACGGTTTAACGTGCTCTCTGAAGCACGGAGGAGCTCGAGGTAATAACATTTTGGTCACCCATCCTATGACCGGCCATGGCGAAAGTAGCTTAACAACATATGGTAGACCGCACGCGCTAACCATTGTGCCATAGATCGCCCCATAGTATATTAATCCAATTAAATAAATATAAGACTAAAATCACAAACTGCTCAGATCCGAAATTCAGTACCTAATGAATTTGTATTACGGAAATATGAAACAATGAAGGTACCACAACGCCCAAACCTGGGACAATATAGAAAAGTTCATTTTATACATTGTCCCGATCGGAAATCAAACCAAGGGCTTCAGAGATGGTTATTTATATGATTCATTAATATGATATACTTATCGCTGTCTCCCATTATACAGAAACTGGGTATTGATTACTGTTTTCTATCATGACTCATCTACTAGTTCATCTGGGTTTTGACAACGGGGATATTTTAATAAGATGTTAGCTTTTAGTCCATTGTTCAATTGTAGGCAAAGCTACGTTATTAAGCAACTTACACATGCACGAATGCTGCCATGAAATACTCCGTGGTTGCTTCTTTAAATATTGTCGCTCTCAAAGCGCCGTATACAATTACTCGCGAAGTTGACTAAAGTAAATCGAATACGTAGTAAATACCTAGTGTATGTAGGAAAGGTAGCAATCTTGCCTCGCCCCGTTCGAGTTCCGATAGTTATCAGTTTTAGGCCCCAGTCAAAGGACTCGAAGTGTTCCACGATCGTGTAGTCAGGCACTACGAACTAAGAAGTCAGGGAGGTAACCTTGATATCTTCAACGGAGCATCGAAGCGAGTGGTGTATTAGGTTGGGGAAAAAAGACTTTTCGCATAAAGTATGCATAAACTTGTAATGAAACCTTTCTGGCTATATACCATTTGCATGTGGCTGGTTTCGGTATCACTAAAAAGTTTAAATTTTAAAGAAGATAGTAATCTTTCCGAATTCAAACTAGGAAAATGTGATTTCATTTGTTTTTATTACTGTCAAAATATGTGAATCTAATGAAGAAATTCGATACATTTTAAAATTTTATTACAGAATAAAAAACAATTTCTAAATCAATAGGATTATGTCTCTACCTACAAGATGGCAAGTTATCGAACAAAATGGTACATACATACTTTAGTTTACTGTAAATAAACTTTTTCCCCAACCAATTTTTAAGAAAGCTCCGTAAATGGGCGAAAAATGTGTCGAGTAATAGTTGGGAATGTTTGCCAAGGACGGATACACCGTAACAATTATCTAATTATTATATATAATTATATAACCCTAATAATTATAATTGTGACGTGACATTTTCATGGTCTATTGAGGTTCGATCGCCCACGTGGAACCACTGCATAAAATCTTGATCACAGTATCATATTAATGTTAAAAATATCATTTGCGGGATTGTACTATTTTGAGCCTTTTGAGAGTTTATACCCTGTCTCGCATTTAGTCTGTGTTCAGGTGACCACAACCTTTTTTTTTCAAATATCAAACTGCCGAAATTCAACCATATTTTGTTTTAACAATATTAAACTTTAAGTATTATCAATCAATGATTATATTTCTGTATGTTTGTTTGACATTCAGTTAACACAAGTGTTTACCATGTAAGGGTGTGTAATGCTTAGATAATTTTTGTAATACTTTCTATTTTGATTCTGATGTAATTGTATTCTGACTTGAATTAAATTGAATTGAGATCTGGATAAGCCGATGGTGGTTATGAGATTTGTTGTTGCTTATGGTTCATTTTAATATCACGATAAGATAAACTAATGACCGACAAATAAATAGTTGCCTACAGAAATCCGAATCTCGTTCAAGTCCTATCCATCTACGATAAACGCATCACCATTCTTAGCCTTGCGCAGTCGGGTAAAAATGAGCCATTATGCACGACACAAATATTGAAATTGTGGTCGGTGTAACACGTGCTTAAGACACTTGGAAAAAATAATATGCTTGTGTTGTCTAATATTATTATTTCTTCTGTAGAAAGACGTTGAAGAGCCGATGCCCGGGTACCTGAGCTTGCATCAGACTGCAGCAGGCCTTGTCATCAAGTGGACTCCCAACCAACTCATGAATGGTTACGCTGAGAGTGAAGGTATCGACAAAAGGTAGGGTCTTCAAATAAGTCAATACAACTAAGTCCATTAAAAATGTTTCTAAGATGCTATCTGCCTTAATATAAAACAAGAGTAACTTTAGAACCAGGCTTAAAATATTGTCAGACCGAAGTCTACTGCCAATTTGCTTTAGGCGGTCAATGATTTCAACAAAGTGCTAAGGTGGTGCTAAGTTTTGTACTCCTTTTTTAATTATATCATTAGTGAATTTATTACACAACGTTCTTAAGTCCTTCTCATTGTCTGTGTCCAATGTTTTATGATCATCATAATTAAGCATTTTATGTTCTTCCCATAAAAAATATAATTAAAATTATATTTCGATTTTCCCTTATCATACGAGGTTGTTTCTCATTTTGTTTATGTTTCTTTTGGTAAAAATATAGTCCTTATATTTTAGCCCCTCATCAGCCCTTTACTTACAATGTATAAAATTAATTAAAAGTAAGTTAACTCATTCGTAATAACAGTTTATTCGGACTTTATATCTTTTGTTTAGAATTCATTTGCTATAAGTGCATTAGATGGTTCTCTTGATTTCTACGATTTTGTGTGTTCAATAGTATAGTTAATAAATGTTTTTTTTTTTTTACTTATTTTGCATGCAGTAATACTTTTAGTGCTCTGTTCTGCTTGTTATAATTATTGTGTTGTGTTTATGTATTATTTATTATTAAGTCTTTATAAATGAAATTGCCGATTTTTCTCCGAGACTAAACACTAATTACTGCTTAAATAATATAACTTTTTTAATTATACGATTTAAGCGTTTTTTAGCTCGACTTGGTGTGACAAATTACTACATTTGTAAATTTATAGGTGTATGTATAATCAAAAGATTGAGAAACCCTTTTATTAAGAATTCTAGGATTCATTTATATGCCCTCTTTTGACTTTCATCAAACTTTGTAACTGTGAATTTCATTCGGATTGACTTGCGTTTACCTTCATTAGTAAATCCATAATGATCGCCGCTTCGACTAAAAGTGAATAAGTAACTCAAAAAGTTTGTAACAATAGTAATTCATTTCTCAGGGGAATTACTTATTTCGTGTTATACTATTCCACTAACTTTTTGCAAACTTTTGATTGTTAAAATTTGTGAGCGTCTGCGATTGTTTTCTAAGCTAAAAAATATACTTAAATGAAACTTGTCCGATAAAAACCGTTATTGTTATAACTTATAACTTTAAGCAAGTATAAGGATGGAGGAAATCATCTCAGGTACAAGGCAATTTCATCTATAAAAACTTGATAATAGAGTTTAATGTAGTATGCACAGTGATCATGCTTGTGTCATCATCACGTGTGGTTCGATTCGCTGTCACCTAGTGCATGCGTCCGCGTGCCAAAATACGTGTGTTCTGTGCAGCGCTACGCCTTGCACTGTCTACAGGCGACTTTGTAAAGGACCTCTATGTATAGATTGGTATGCTATTCGTTATTTTTTTTTAATACTATAGCACATTTATAGGACATGGTTCTGACGCATAAATAATCCTGTTATTTAAATTTGACCGTTAAATTGTATGTCGTGTAATATATTTCATTACCTCACTATAAAAAAGTCAATGGCGGCCTGCCAACTTCAAGTTATTAGGTAGTGGCCAGCGCTCCTTACAGCTCACCGATAGCGAACCGCCCATCAGGCGCAACTTCGCTGATGAAAATAGTTTTCAACTAGCAGTGTGTTTGCAAGTCGCGGTGTGTGTGCTTGTAAGTCACGATGTGCAAGTTTGTAAGTCGGGGTGTGCGAGCTTGTTAGTTGCGGTGTACGACTTGCTAAGTCGCGGTGTTATATCTTGCGAGCGACACGTAATTAGTGCGCTGGCAGCTAACGGTAATCAAAATCCAAATGCGGTTCTGCTGCTGAGCCCTTTAAATGTGTTATATTACCTTTTAAGTGATTTTTTTTTCAAAGTAGTGCTTAATTACTCTTCGCGAAATGGTTAGTGTTCTCGACTGATACAAATTATAGGCCTACTTTTAGTATGCACGTACATTCATGAACAGGTACAACTTTATTTTTTTCTTCTCAAATTTTGACAAATATATGTTAGCAATTAAAAGCTTTTAAAACTTCAACGCTTTAATTGTAAAGCTTAAATACATTAGATACTCGTAAATGATTATTTGTTTGGTATAAATCGTTTCTGAAAACAATTTTATAATAGATATTGTATGTTTAAGTATGTAAGCTATTGACGTTGCAATTATTAAAAAAAACCCTGGTTGGCTGTATCATTGATACAGCCATATTTTATGCGTGGATACGTCTATGTATGAATGGATATATGAGTAATTGATAAAAAAATAAATAAACAAATTGAAGACACTAAACACTAAATAAATAAATATTCGTTGCGTTCATTTGTTGAATGAAAAAAGTATTCACTAGCGCCAACAGATGGCGTTAGTGCATATACTCCTGCTGACAGAATGCCTCTCCCCCTGCAGAGCAAGCATAGTTCACTTATACGCCAATAGATGGCGTTAGTGCATATACTCCTGCTCACAGAATGACCCCCCTGTAGAACGAAAACATAGACGTATCCACGTCAAAAAAAAATCGTATTAAAATTGTTAATACTCTGTTTTGCAAAAGCGTATACTGGGCGATGTCACTGCAAGTGTGTGTATGGGAGGTTGTATACGTTCACGTGCACCGGTCCCAAGCCGGCGATGCTCTCATTTTAGTGGGACAAGATGGCGTCCAGAGACCTCCTATACAGTTTCCAAAAGGTAAGCTACAAATTATTACTCCCTTAATATCTCCTCTACGGAGGTACAGACGTGGGGTGCGACCGCCTTGCTTTGTAAATATGACACTAGCCATTGATTTTGTGGCCATCGATATTCCGTTTCATAGTTCTTTGATATGTACTTTAATAATGTTGATTATGGATTTTACAGTAGTGTTGGTTGCTAACTTAGTCGTTCATCCTCCAAAAACAATGTCGTCTTATATGGGTAGAGTCATAGCTAGATGGTTAGGCAGTCGCACCTTTTAATGGAAACTCTATATATATGCTTAATATGGATTTTATAATAGTTAGGTCTCCCAATATAATAATGTTTAATCATAAAATCATGTTATACTGTTTTTCTTCACTTGTGTCACGTGTTTCTATAATTGATAAGATACGGCACAATAATCGCTAAAGACGCAGCACAGCACTTGCCATCATAGCAGACGAAAAAGGTTCCAATTCTAAATGTTACGAATTTTTCCAACAACATATGTTAACGAAAAATCATTCAAAAATATTATCTTAGGTTCATAGCCAGATGGGAAGGAAACCTTTGTTAGGTTTGAACCTATCTAGCATGTAGCCCACATAACATGACGTAATTGCAACATGTTGTCTACACTGAAGTGTCACTTTTCTCGGTTGGGTTCATACGTGTATCATTCTCGAGCTGTTTCTTGACTTTTTAGAATTAACGAGACGATGAATATGTTCCGTAGCATTATTTGTTCAGAAATGAGGTTTAAAATTAAGTAAATTGAACGACAAATTTTGCTTATTATAGCGATTCTGTTTTCTCTTCAATTGACTTTATTTCCGAAGTCATTATCCATTCCATTATGATAACTCGAGCTATGAATAAATAAAATAAGCATCTACTCACATAAAGAAAATGTTTTACACACTATTGGGCATTATTTAATAATACTCTTCAATGGCAGCTTTCGTTGAGGGAATTCCGTCTATTATTGTATAAAAAAGATGCATCAATACCTCATTCTATTCGGAAATCTGTCAATATGTCGAGTAAAGAGCAAAATGAAATCCTATTATAGTATTTGTAAAAATATCCAATATGTTTTATAGGTGGACACCTATTATCCTTTTTGAGCAATCTGGAGACAGGATTATTGCCACACGGACAATTGGATCCACCGTTATGGTCACAACGAGGAACTGGAAAAGTAAGATTATTTTATTGTTTAGTATATTGTTTAGTAGTGAGTAATTTTTTACATTATCTCTTATAATTTTATATACAATCGCAGAAACCTGACAAGTAATTTGATACTTGGAGAAATTTTGACTGCTTTGACTGAAACGGGTTTATTATATAAGACAAATAAGTAAAACGAGATCCTTAACCTGTTATTTAGTAGAACCATTTACTTCTTTTCTTTTTTGAATTATAATTTTGAGATTGTATATTCGACAACACGTTAAGCTACTATAAAATTGCAATTGATTGATCTTATTTAGTGACCTGATTGTACTAGTATTTGTGGTTTATTCTTTCTTACTTACTCCCATATAAAGAAATGTCGTCTAATAACATTCACCACTTTTTAATGCTTGCGTTCTAAAAACCAATCGTAGTTTTGCGATAAACTGACTAGGAATATAGGACTCGATTTAAATGTACTTTTTTTGGTATATTAGCACACTTACTGACCTTTTCTACTTTTATATGACTTTTTTATAAGATAAATATTAAACAGATTTCTGTTACTCTTAACACAGGTGTTTGGTCGAGGTAAAAGTCGTCGTCGGCCGATGCCAAGTCTTTGCGAGAGTGGGGAGAATGAGGAGGCCGAGTGGGAGGAAGCCGCCGGTGACTACGTGTTCAGGATTGTGAACAATGCTATCACAGATAGAGAAGGTAAATTATTAAAACATTTATTGACATTACCAACCGTTACGTATCGGTTCTTTAGAAATAATACACTACATTACATACTACCTCTCTTTGTTTTACTATGCTTCTATTATGATTTATGACACATGATAAGTGATTGTGAACGATCATCTACCTTCAATAAAAACCTCAATCTTCTTATTATAAAACAAGGACTAACCTTAGTACCTGGTTAAAACCATTATCTGACCAAAATAAGTTAACTCGGTTGAACTTGACGTTTTCTCTTCTGTCATTGTCAATTTGCTTTAGGCGGTAAAAAACTTAAAACTAAGTACTAACTTAAGTTCTCGTTTTATAATAAGATGCCGTCGACATGTTTGATTTATTAAGATTCGTTGTCAATTTCTTTAACTGTTTTCTTATTTTTTTCTACAAATTATATCTTCATTTATTTTATACACAACTATTAACAAAAAAATACGTTATGGATAGAATTTGATACCAGTTTATCATTTGCAGCAATGAGGCACTCGTTGTTAGAGCGTGCGGTATCTTCTCCGCCTAGAACGCCTCGAAGACCACTGGCCTCAACCTCTACGACTTCTTCAGACTCTTCTACAATGTCTGTAGATTGTCCGCAGTCGGCTGGACACAACGGCGTACCTCAACAAATATTACCCCCACCAATTCCCGTTGAAGAGGTAAGTAGAAAAAGGTAAAATTCCCAATCATCACTAGTTTAATGCTTGCATACTTATAGTAATTTAATGCTTAGATTCGAACACTCAATGTCCGACGGTCTGTCGGACGTATGTATTGGGTACCTTACCTTGTCATTTTGATGTTATTGTGCCACTATAAATTGCAACGTTAAGTTTAATGTAAATTGCAACTCACAAATCACTTTTTTTAATAAATATTATTATTATATTGTTTTTGGAGCTTTTTTAGTTCCAAATTTAGAGAACTGAGGTCAAAAAAATATGTTAATTGTATAAAGTCAACGTATTCTTGTTTTGTAGTCGACCTGACTTATTAGGTAATAACTTATCAAGGGTGCAATTTCTTAAATTTTTACTATGGCTATAAATTCTGTAATATTAATCAATATCACATTTTCGAATATTGTCTATGTAAAATGGTTAATAAACTACGGTGTTTTTATGTCTAAAAAAATATTTTTATCATGTTTTAAAATAAACTTTCTAACCTCGGTCCTGGATTGCTTAATCTATGTATCTTGAATTCGAGCAATATGTGTTCAGTTGTCTAATATTTATTTATTTGTCTAGCCTGCATCTATCGAACTGGTGTGCAGTACAATGCGTCGCCAGATAATTTCGAGGGCGTTCTACGGATGGCTCGCGTACTGTCGACACTTGTCCACAGTGAGAACGCATTTAAGTGGACTTGTTCACGCTAACATCGTACCCAGAGGTTAGTTCGTGTATTCAAAAAAATCGGCTCAACTAGAACAGTTCCCAGAAAAATGTATAAAGACACTCATTGGTTTTCCTTTTTATATAGGCTTTAGTAGTAAAATTGATGTTTGCAATAGATATCTTTGTTATTTATTTTCCTTTTTACTCGATTTAAATAAGATTAAATCGAGTAAGTAGATAGTTCAATACATGAAGGTATATCACAAGTCAAATCTATTCTATAATAAGGTAAATTTTCAGTTTTTTGCTATGTGCTATTGTTACAGAAGGTACAGAAACAGGTTTGACGGAAGAATTGTGGAGATCTATGACCGATGAGCGAGGTGCGGTGACTGATAAAGACGAGGTGTACCGTCAAGTTTACTACAAGGGCGTACAGCATGAGATTCGGCGGGAAGTGTGGCCCTATTTATTGGGCTACTATGAGTGAGTAAAATAATTGCTCGCTTTATGGAAGTTTACCGTAATCGTGAACTAACATTTATAACTGTAAAAGCAGCTGTCAAGTGATATAATGAAATAAATGTGAATGGTAGAATAAAGACGGGCTTTATGAGATTAGAATGTGTTTATATTTTTATGCTTATCGTTTATAGGTTCGGTTCAACGGCAGAAGAAAGAGTGGAACAAGACGCGGCGTGTAGGCGGCAGTACGAGACCACAATGTCAGAGTGGTTATGTGTGGAGGCGATAGTTAGGCAACGAGACCGCGAGGCTACGGCGGCGTCTATAGCGCGACTCACTGAGGCTTCTGGGAAACTCAAGCCTGCCGAACCTATTGACCCTGAGGTATCAAATCAAGAATCTGTTACATTTTTAGGTAGAATCAAGATATAGCTATTTTATATTATGAGCCCAAGATCTTAGAAATCATGAAACTGGTGCATAAGTTATGTTTTTAATGAGGCCTGTCCACGTAGCATGACAAACCTGAGAAACGCTTTCTCTACACCAAATGTCACGTTTCTGCGGTCAAGAGTTAGATGTTGTTTGTGCGCTACCGAGAAAAGTGACATCTAACTCTTGACCGCAGAAACTACTTGTCATAAGTAGCAAAAACATATGTCATTGTGTTATCTAGAATTTAGGTATTCAAAGACAATAAGCCTGCTCAACTGAAATCGCCTTATGTTTATTATAATCAAATTGAATGTTTATTAATTTTGTATCATTTTCAGGTATTTGAAGATGACCTCAGTGTTATATCCGATAATCCACCGATCGTATCACCGGAACCTAGCGAAAATGAACAGAAAAGGCCTGATACTAAGCCGATTCTATCAAGAGCCCCGAGCATAGATGAAGTGGACAATATTGAATTAGACTCGGAAGGAAAAGAGAAGGATGCCACGAAAATAAACGGAGAGACTGAGACGGGTGATAGTAGGGATTTAGATATAGACAGTCTGAAAGACTTAGATGATGAAGAAGTACATATTAAGAGTATTGTAGAGAATCCAGATTTGAGACGGGAAAGTATAGCAGAAATTAAGAGGTTAGCTGAAGGCATTGTTCAAAAGGGCGAGGGACGAGGATTATTGTGTAGTGTGGATAGTGCAAATATAAATCTTAATGGAAGCGATTTAAGGTCATCAATAGAAGAGAGCCAACCTCTACAGTCGCCACATCAGCAGCATACCAGTGTAATAATAACGAATCCTTCAGTGGATATAGCTCCTTCTGGTTCTCCGGCATCTGGAGGAACTACAGGTTTGTTTTAATATTTTTAATTATCATTGAAACAATATTTTAAATCAAACTTTATTAAAATTTTGCTTTTTGTTTTAGTATAAACGTAAAAAAATATAACATTACGAAATCGGAATAAAGATAATGAGTAGTTTACTGGTATGACCTCCGTAGCCGAGTAGATCACACGCCGGTTTCTAGGTGTTGCCATCTCTGAGGTCCCAGGTTCCCAGTCGAGTTAATGTAGAAAATGTACTTTTCTATGTTATCTTGGGTCTGGGTGTTGTGGTACCTTCTTTGTATTAGATACTTCATATTACGGGAGATTTAGCCACTAATCTTCGAATCTGAGCAAAGTATGTGATGTTGTTTAATACTTAGTTATAAGAAATAATTAGATAAATGTATTTGAAACAGCCAATGTGAGTCCAGCTCGCAGTCCATTGGGTGTGGTTCAGGAAGAGTCCCACTCAGCGGGCGCGTCGTTCGATACTTTGGAGCCCGCCGCTGATCAGCGACCTGACAACAGGTCCAACTGCGGCTCACCTGCTAGTTCCAACGGTGGCGTGTACTCGGTAAGACTTTAAAATTAAAAGATATGTAATAGGTTCGTTTATTCAATACATAAAAAGTTTTTTATAACAAAAATAGGAAAAAAAATAGAAGAAAAATTATGCTCCAATCGTATTAAAAGTTGTTTATCGAAAATATTAGGTTCCTTTACACAGCTAAAATGTGTCTTTTAACAGTTGATGTTACTAAAATATGTCTTTCAACAGTTGATTTCAATTTTACCCTCAACATGTTAAGTTTTAAAATAATTCGGAGAAATTTGACTCATGTGTTGTTGACTGTATTTGACGATATGCATTGGACATTTTATTTTTTTAAACAGTATTGAAAATATGCCATGGACTGTTTAAAAGATTATTGTTTAGAAGTTTAGGGTTGGATCTATTTGAGACAAATAAAATATCTTAAATTTAGAATATTTAATTGAGTATATTGATTGCATATAAAAATTAAGGCGATTAAAAAAGCACATTAATATTCATACATTACTTGTAATCCTAGTTCAATACAAACAGGTTATAACAACATGACTCTGGAATAATTTTAGAACGAGCTGGTCGAGAGCTTCGCATTGAACTTGCACAGAATTGAAAAGGATGTTCAGCGGTGTGACAGGAACTATCCGTTCTTTACAGACGAGAACCTCGATAAACTAAGGAATATCATGTGCACGTGAGTGTTTATTTGCATTTCATTACTAGACCTCCAGACTTACTGCTTATTACATTGGCGTCTTGCTGAACTCACTTGAGTAAAGTCGGAGTCTTTGCGATAATTGTTTTTGCATGTATCATTTTTTTAAAATAAATAGCGTCGTCTGAGTAAATGTGGTTAAATTTGACAGATATTAAGTCCTTAATTATAAGTCTATCGTAGATGGGCAGCGATTAATTAAGTATTTTATGTGTTTTCTATAGTTATGTCTGGGAACACTTGGATACTGGTTATATGCAAGGCATGTGTGATCTCGCGGCACCTTTACTGGTGATGATGAGGGAAGAAGCTGTTGCGCACGCATTGTTTGCGCGTTTAATGGACAAAGCTAGAGATAATTTTCCATCTGGGCAAGCGATGGATGCGCACTTTGCCGACATGAGGTTTGTATCTTATATAATACTTCATATAGAACTCCAATGATAACTTATCTTTGCGTACTACATAAACAAGGGTATTTTTTTAATGACTGAATAGGTCCGGAAACATAAGTTTTCCAATCATTGGTTTTGAACCAACAGATATGGCCATTCTCAAATAAGTTTACTTTTTAAAGTATACCATAGGTATAATCTGATGGCATAAAAACAAAGAAACAATCTGGGTTTTCATAGAGCAATGTTAATTGTCAACTATTGACACTGTCATGTGTAAGAACAATAATTTATTTTATGTTCCCAAAAAACCATCTATATCTCATTTTTTTTAAAGAAGCTGAAGATCAACGATGTTTTTTGATTTTTAAGTAGTCTTGACACTTAATTTTTTCTAAAGAATTAAATAATATATATTAGCAATAGACAATACATATAGTATATCTTCCTTTATTTATTCGAGTTAGATTTTGGGTCAGATAAAATATTATTGAGTTTTCTCTGATTGGTCAGATGCTGTCAAAATATTAGATGAGGGTAATATAGAATGTACAGATGTATGTGTGTGCACTAATATCTCTTATTATGTCTCACTTAGATGGCTAATCTTTGTCAAAATTTGTATTACATGAGGCAGTTATTGAAAAGTGTTTAATTAAATTAAAAATTTTACAAATATCAAGACGTCTTTTTCCTATTTCCCCAATGTTGCCGTCAAATTAAAATTTTTCGATTTGCCATCAGATTCTGGTACATCGGATAGTTCAAAAATAATTAGTAAAATAATAAGGTTCCTTATTAAAAAAGTCATTTTTGATTAGATGTAGTTTTAAATTTCCATGTAGATATAAGAAACTAAAGCTAATCTCTTTCAGGTCGCTTATTCAAATCTTGGACTGCGAACTGTTCGAGTTGATGCATGCGCATGGCGATTACACGCATTTCTATTTCTGCTACCGGTGGTTCTTACTTGATTTCAAGCGAGAGCTCCTTTACCAGGACGTAAGTTCAATTTTAAATATCCTAGCTGCACGCGTATGAGAAAAAATATGCACGGAATTTCATAAATTACTTATTTTATTTAATACGGCATATATAAAGATAAGCAGTCAGCCACGTTTATACTAGAATTGAATTGCAATCGAGTTCATTGGTCAATAACCGTTCTCCAGCTGAAATCACATGGGAAACAATGAACTTATAGAGCTTAAACCTGAGATATTTAGGCTTTTACAGGATTGGTCCTAAGGGAATTATATATTAATTCATATATATACCTACAGTTCTAGCACCCCATTGGCTGTCTATATCTAACTCTTCCCTCCTGGGCCAAAAAGATATTTCTTTTGTGTTCAAGATCATGAGCTATTATGTCTAGACTTATATTACACATTAATACTTTTAGAAAAATCTATGCATTTATTCCAAATAGTACAAATACGAGCAGATCGAGATGATAGCTTAATTCTGTGTCCAATGACTACTTTAGAGTTCTAGGGTTATTAGCCGAAATAATTGACCTGGATTTTTAGTGAACTGTTCAGTGATCTTCATACCGAGTTCCGTTTTTTCATGGGTCACAAAAAGGTTATGCACACTTTTAGTGGCCATAATATCAAATGCTATGAACTGGATTTGTAGTCTAGAGAAGTCACTTTTTATTTACCAGTAATAAATTTTATGCAATAATTTTTTCTTGTATTAAGGTATTCGCGGCATGGGAACTTATATGGGCGGCGAGATACGTAGCGTCTGAACATATGGTACTGTTCATTGCACTGGCACTGTTGGAGACTTACCGTGACGTAATCCTGGCCAACACAATGGATTTTACAGACATCATCAAATTCTTCAACGGTGAGGAACTCGAACATTACTTAATCTAGTAGTAAAGAATTAATAAACTGGATGTGTATTTTACAAGGTTTACCGTTGTATATTGGTTCATTCTTTAGCATTTCATATGTGTGTTGGATTGCTTCATATGTTGTTAGGCTTGCCAGACCGCCGGGAAATCCGGGATTGTCCCGGAATCTTGCCTCTTGTCCCGTGTCCAGTAATTAGCGCTTATTGTCCCGGATTCTGGAAACTTATTATTTTTTTACAAAATAAACTAGCATCGAATGACACGGCTGCCGGTGAGCGGGTGCGGGAGGCGCGCGGCCGCGGGAGGGGAGTGCGTGCAATAGTTTTACTTCACTCGCCCACCCGCCCCGTCTTATATTTTATGTACTAAAAAATTTTTTGTTACTAACAGTCAAGTACTGATTGTTTTTATAAGTTAGGAATTTATTATTCTAAGATTTTTTATGGTAGTATCTTTTTATCGTAGTTTTTTTTTCTCCAGTTTATTATAATTTAATTTGTCATTTAGTATTAATTGTCTACCAAAGTTTAAAATTGGTAATTTAAGCGAAGTGCTCAATTAGTTTAACGTGTGATTTACTACCACAGTGTTTCATCTCAGAATTATAACTGGAGTTAATTATCTACTTAGAACATACCTATATCTAATAAAAGTATGTATTTGAAAATAAATGTCATTTTTCCTTTTAAATACAAATACGAAAAAATATATATTTAAGATATTTTCTATTATAACCACGAGCCAACATTTTTTTGTAGAATTGTCCCGGATTTGATAAGTTACTATCTGGCAACCCTATATGTTGTACAGTAGTAATATCTTTTGTCGGAATAAAGAAATCTCTATAATTCTTACGCAGTTGATATTATATATAGTGATGTAACTGTATCATGATAGATGTCGCCATGAGGTTTGAAGTAGCAAATTAAAATATGTTTTTTTTTATTGCGATAACAGTTAAAGTAGAATAAAGAAGTGAATTACCAAAGTAATCCATAAGAAAATGGCTAACTTAAGAATTACTAGGTGCTATTCTCATTTAAAAATTATAATATATAATTATTAATATCATTTAAAACCAATTATATTTGGTTTTCACGATGTATATTTTATACTACAACTATTTAGTACCGAAAACAAATAATATAATGGTTAAATAATTTTCAATATTTTGTATATATTTCAGAGATGGCCGAACGACATGACGCTTCCGCAGTTTTATCGCTAGCCAGGGATCTAGTGCTGCAAGTTCAAACTTTAATAGAGAACAAATAAGATACGAATTAGTATTTATCGTTTGTACCAAACACATGATATAAAACAGGTCATTGGGCATATCGTGATAATGTACAAATATGTCAATAGGGATGGCATGTTGATGGAAATAAGATGCTGAACAGTATAATACAATGGCATTTAGTATCTATTGTTATTTATTATATTGCTAATTGCAATGTGGAAAAGGCCAAATAATAGATTTAGCTTAAATCATGTATATTATATATTAGAACTATAGTTCGCTATTTATTTCACTGACGATATTTATAAACAAATTGAAACAAACAACGCAGAATCGAAATCTATGATGGTCATCAGTTTCTGATAGTTTTCCTTGAAAATGGCTATTGTGAAATATTTTTTGAAATTATATTAGGAAGTTTTATATATTGCGCTAATGCAAAGAATGTAAGTGAAATATACTTAAGTGTATTTTTATTTTATCATTATTTTTATATTGGTATTTATTATCTGATAACAATCTAGAACAACACGTTTCCTAATTAATTATAATGTTATCCAGTCTAGATGGATGGCATTATTCTTGAATAAATAATAAAAAAATATAATTGAATAGAAAAAACACACTAATTCAATGGTTCAAACATCGAATGTTACTTTGTAGGCATGCATGCAAACTATCCTCACTTTATTGACGAAGCAAAGAAAAAGATGAAGCCGAAAAATATAAAAAAATGCGCTATAAAAATACTGCTTTGTCTGTTATTGTGCAGGCGAAAAAACGAGAAATGGAAAGATAACATATAAGATAACATATAACATATAAGAAGATAACATATAAGCGCCATCGGAGTTAAATTTTTTCCCTTGCAAGAAGTCATTGAAATTTCGAAAAAAATGGTAATCTGTTGGAGCAAGGTCCTGGGAGTACGGTCGATGTCTTAGACATTCCAATTGAAGCTCTTCTAATTTGGTAGCTGTCTGTTGTGCAGTATGTATATGCGTTGTCGTGAAGTAGCAGTGGCGTAGAGCTATTAACTATGACTAGCCTCGGTTGTTAACAGCTAGTTTTTCCAGCATGGTTTGCAATTGCTGATAATAGACGTCTGCCGTAATCGTCTGGCCAGATTTGAGAAAACTGTAATGAACAACACCGGCACTAGTCCACCAAACGCTTACAAGTAACTTTTTGGGGTCAATTATCGCTTGGGGCAGGATTTGGCTGGCATATCAAGGTCCAACCATTGCGATGAGCGCTTCCAATTATCGTAGAGAATCCACTTTTTATCACAGGTAATGATTCGATTTAAAAATTGTTCATTATTGTGCCGGTTAAGTAATGTAACGCAGCAGTCGAAGCGCGTTTGCCGGTTTGCTTCACTCAATTCGTGAGGTACCCAACTTTCGAGCTTTTTAATCTCTCCAATTTGCGTCAAGTGGATTAAAACAGTTTTACCACTAACACCGTCAGCCTGCAGCTTACTCGGACGCGGTTTGCGATGGATCCGCTTCCACAATAGCCTTCAATTCTGGCATTAAAGTGGCTAATACGACGAAACGCCAATTTCATATGTAAAGACCCAAGTTACCCAAGCGCGTACCAGCAGGTACGCGCTTGGCTAACATTAGGTGTTTTTTGTGTTTTAATAACAAACATAAGATACTTCTTATGTTTGCTAAAACACAAAAAGTGGTCAAGTGTGAGTCGCTACTCACGCACGAAGGGTTCCGTATCGTTATTCATAAAACACCAAAAATTCGTTGTTGTATGGTAGCCCCTTCAATATTTATTGTATTCTTGTTGTTGTTAAAGTGACAACAACTATCTAACTATTACGGTTCACGAGATACAGTCCTGGCGACAGTCGGACGGACAGACGGACAGATGAACCGATGTTAGCTTGACATTAGCCAGGAAAGTCCGCACGAGGCATCTATGGCATTTAATCGCGCAAAACCATCATGCATGTCACTTCGATCCTGATAATTCTATGATTTGCGATATATATCGTAATATCTTACATAACATTGTGCCATTGTAAGTTTTTTCCTGCCCCAGCAACAGACTATATTTGCTTATACACTTTTTTATAGACACACAGATAAAGATACTGAAGAGATATATAAAGATACTGGATTTTGAAAATGGAAAAAATGTACTGTATATGTACATTTATCTAAGATAAAGGACTGTTAGTTTATTACATTGTTGTACCGCTAGTTTCAAGACGATCTTTGACATCTGGATGTATGAGACTCAATTTATTATGCATTTTCTTTTTATCTATTACTAAACAAAAATTAGTACGCGTAACCGCGTCTCATTAAAAGTTGAGCATGTATTATTACCTTACTTGGACATTTTATCCATTTATATAAAACATAATCTGAAATGTATGTGAATAATGTAAGTAGATATTTAAGAACATAATAAGTTAGATATAACTTATGTTCTATATCATGTTTAAGCCTACGTTAAATTTTTTTTTTAATTCCCGATAAATTTTATGGCAAAGAATTTTAAAACAGAGCAGAGTAAGAGGAGTCTATAAGTAGTGTTTTAACTAAAATATTATTTCTATCTGTAAATTGATTAATGCTTTTATAAATAAATTATAAAAGTAACTGGTTCTTCCTTATTAAAATTAGAACTATAAAATCATGTTAATTAGAAATAACTAACTATCCATATTACGGATAAAATTCTTAAGCCATTTGATTTAACACAGGTATTACAGAAGATAATCCCCATAGAAAATAAGATGAAACTCTTAATTCATAAACATACCAACGTATACATACAGTGGAATCAATATTATAACTAATTTTAATAATAATTAATGTTTGGGTTTAAAAGTATGTTAAATTAGTCTTCAAGTTTTAATAGTTTGAGTTTGTGTTATCTGAGCAGGATTTAAATGAAAATTAATATCGACGTAAAAAATAAAGAGCGGAAAGATATACCGAATTGATTGATTATAATTTTATGATGACATGACATGATGTACCGTCTAAAGCTGATGAAACTCGAGTGAATTGTATCCACGTTTGGTTCAAAACTTATACTCAAACTTATAATTGAATAATTTCTTAGGGATTGTATATATTAATGCGAACAGTTATAGAATACAAATCAGAATCGTGAGTCACTAAGACAGATGGTAGCATAGTAGGTATCCATTGCGCGAAATAAAAAACATTTTTTTTTAAATATGTTAGTTATTTAGGTACTCGAAAAAAATTGCTGATATTATAATATCCTCTCGTTTCTACGAACACAGAATATAATTATATACGAAAGAAAATAAATATTATCGAATTTTAGAGGTACATTTGCCACGTTTTAACCTAGTGATTTAGTCGTCGGTTCGCGATTTTGGTTCTGAATCTAGCATCGCCATATTAAAGGTTCGATTTCGACCACATTCGATTGCTGGTCGGGTGAAAAAAAAACTAAATATGATACCTTAGTTTTTTACGATCTTTCTCTTTTTTTGAAGTCATTTAAAAATTATTAGTTAAAGATATAGTGATTATTAAACTTTACTAAGTTCGTTTCATCGCATGTGAACTGTTTTATAATAGATTATAAACAATATTCTATTGAAATGGATTGTCTACACATCGTGTATACTCGATTAAATCCAGACATATCTTTAACAAAGTATAAAAAATATTAAATTTATATTCTGTATAACTATCCAATGAGAATCTTGATCGCTTATTACAGATTATATATTTCATGTTAATCTATACCTTCTTCCCCCAGTGCCTTGAAACAGAATAACAGCCATAATAAGAACTTATTTACAATTTAAAAAAGTAATGAAAATAAAATTTTCATGCTTTTAACTATATTTTATTACATCCCCAAGGTAAACAGGATATATTATCATTATACCTACTTAAGTAATTCAAATGTATCTATGTAATTTATTCTAAATTATATATTAGTATATCACATAGTTTTTCATATTATTGCTATTGATATAATACTATTTTGATAAGATGATTTCGAATGAAATATCATTAATTATTCTTACCTACTCGATAAATAAAATAACTTTGAACTAAAAACTGCTAAAAAATTAGACTGTATTAAACATTTTTATTAAAAATACAGTTTTTTGTTCAAAATAACAAAAGTGAATTACGGAAATAGTAATATTTTGCCGAATTTCAATAATGAAACAAACAGGAATTTTTGTACTCTCTGAAATAAGTATATTGATGATAATTAAAGATATATTGTTTGTGGGACGTCGTGGTAAGACGCCAGCGGCGCTTCCGTGATTTCTCTAACCAAAAAGCGGATGCCACTCAAGATTAGTATGGCGATTGGCATGCAGCTGGCGGCCGAATGTAAAGGTCGACTTATGGCTCATTTTGATCGGTCGACATGCGGGATGCGGGAGATTTCTGTGAGCTTATTTCTTTGTTCAATAAACCACGGTCGAGTAACAAAAATGCGTTATTAAGATATAAACAATCTGACATTAATAAAATATTAGTAATATAAAAAAAGATATCGCATAGATCTCAAGAAATTTCATTCAACCCTTAACTATCCATAAGGAAAGCCTGAGCCCCTGTAATGGGGATATAAAAGGGCGATGATGAAGTAGACATTAATCATAAAAAATATATATACTTAGGCCTCAAGAAATTTCAACATCCTTAGATGTATTACGCACAGAATAAACAATCAAATACAATGATCTTATAGAATCATGTCGAATGGAAAAATTCATTTAATGAAATTACATTCAGACTTAAGATTGTAAGAATTCTTTTTTTTTAATTTTTAGATGTTTTATTTCATTGGAATATGTACTAACTTAAAACGACTGAATTAAATAAATATTCCTAGTTTTTAATCTGGTATGCACACAAATTACGCTTCTTATATTTCATCCAAGCGAAATTGATGCCAACATTATTTTAATTATACTTGTTTAAAAAAGAAAAAATAAATTTTATTCATATAGTTAGAAAATATAAAAGAGTTTTCATCTCCGTTAAATTATATGTCTACGTGTATTGTTAAGGCTTTTTAGATATTTCTGTGCTATTGTTAAGTAATTACCCGTTGAAGGATCATTACGTAAATGTGATTGTTATACGCTTAAATCATTTTTGTGACATATTGGCCTAAGAAGAGTCAAAGGAAAGCTTTGTGTTAATTAATGATTGGCTAGGTACAATCTAATTAAACGAACTTATTTTGATTTATCAACCTTTTTATTGTATGAGATTTTTTTTTATCTTTCATCATGCACCTATCTCAGATCAAGTAACTAAATCAATTGGATTATGGAAATCTTAATCCTTAACCATCCATAAGGAAGGCCTATGCCCCTGCAGTGGGGACGTAAAAGGGCTGATAATGATGGTAATGATGATGATGGAAATCTGATCCAATGATACCACAACATCCTGACCCAAAATTATATTGATCTGACCAGGTAAAACGGTTAATTTATTATATTACATCTTATCATATTTTTATTCCATAACGGTAGATATACCACGATATGAATAATATCATAATACAATTGATTCCCTTTGTGAATTTTTGAAATATTA